ACTTTCAGAAGTCAAAAAGTGACTTAAAAATAAATTTGACCAACTCTTAAATCAATCCAAACACCATCTACATATATATTTTTAGCATCTTCAACACCATCAATTAGTCTCTGCCCAAAATTCTCAAATGTGTTCTTTGCTAGAATTTTCAGCTCGTATTGCTTCGAAGCTAAAAATAATTCGTGTCCACCAAGAATCTGTAGCCCCTTTTCACTTGATGCACGACCAACATTATCACCTTGTTGATGCGTCAAAATTTTGTTAGTGAGGGTTCGATTCCCATGCATTGTATTCTTGCCTTCTGAAAATTTTATTATTAGTATTTATAATTTATAGAAGGATGTTATAGTACACCTTTCTAAACTCTAATATTAAGAATGTCTATAAAAATCTTATTCAAAGTATGTTTTAAGTTTTTTATAAGCAAAAGGTGATCAAATGTGAGAGTAATTAAGTTGAATAACGACGATTCAGACATAATTTCTTATTTAATCACTCTGTCCTCCTATTCCATTTATATTATGCACTTTGGTGTTATATATATATGTAATGTTTTATCTCAAAATGAGTATAACAACTAATACAAATACTAAAATCGTAGATCTAAACAACAAATAAGTCAGGATGGCCGAGTGGTCTAAGGCGCCAGACTCAAGTTCTGGTCTTCGTAAGAGGGCGTGGGTTCAAATCCCACTTCTGACATTTCTTTTTCCTTTTTCCTAACTCATCATTTTGATGCCACAAATTTTTTGGAGTATATATGGTACATAAAATTATAAGAAGAATAAATATTCTTTAATTATCTAAGTAGTATTTAACTAAGACAAAATTAAATTGAGAGTCATATTTTTTTTTTTCAACCCAAGATCATTACACAGGTCAATAAAAAATGTATGTGGAAAATTGTCCCATAGTATATATATTAGGTGCGTATGAATAAAGTCCCATAGTGACAAGACGAATAATAAAATGACAAAGTAATGATATAGGGCTCAACTTAGTACCTTTACACATCTATATTCGATTTGATTTCTTCATGCGTACAATAAAGACATACACACAAAATACACCAGTGAGCTTTGATGAAGAAAAATACTCCGTTCACAATAAATCTCTAAATTAGCTCATGAATAATGACAGGTCATACAAAACTTAGTTTAAGGAAAAAGCTAAATTGTTAAATCTGTATAAATAAAATCTCACATTGACATTTATAATTGCAAACACACTAATCTCACTTAATATAATAGTTAATTTATTCAAGATTTAGAAATAGTGAACATTCCTGTGAAATGATGTGTAAATCTTCCCATGGTCTATCTAAACGAAATTTCCTAGTTTTTCATTAAATGTCCATTTAGAGAGAAGAGAGGGGCATCCAATACTCCCAATCAATCAATCAAACAAACAATCATATTTATTTGTTTGCTTACCAAGAATAATTATAGTCGCTAACTAAATATATATATATAAAATACTAGTTATGTACAAGTATATATATTTTTTGGCTATTATTTTGATGGATAAAAAATATCGATGAATTAACGTGTGATTAATGGTTGGCCTACGATCCCCTTTCCTCCTCTTTTCCTTCACTTTCGGATTCTTCCCAACAGACATTGCAACTCTAACTTGTGATTATTACAAAGAATTTTCCTTGGCGTTTTAGCAGCTTAATATTGGATTTGAATGAATTAGAATGTCATGAGGAAGCTTAAAATTGTAAATTATAAAAGTGATAAGTTAGCTGACCAAAACTATACTTAAAAGCATAATATCATTATATGGTTTGACCAATTCACCTACATATAAAAAAATTATAATATAAAAGAAAATATTTAAATATGTTGGGAGAAAAATCTCCCCCTAAATAAAACTCTCTAAATAACTACATCGTGGATGTTATTATGTTCTTGGTATGAGAATAGTGATCTTGAGTTTCAAGCTTTCCGGAAAGAATACCTAAATATGGAAAGGAATTATATTTTCTTTTAGAGTTTAACTTTTTTTTCGGTAAAAAATTAAATTTCAAATTTTATTTTTAAAAAATAGGATAAAATCCCAACACTTAACTAGTTTATTTCGTAAGGTCATTTCACTTTCCAAGTCGCATGCAGTCCAACTAGTTGAGGTGTTATTCTTCTTATTAGAAGGGTTTTTTTTTTTCTTCTTTTTTTTTCCAAAAAGAATTTTGGATAGAAATAAATATATGCATCAGGAAATTGAATTCCAGATCATAACGTTCGGATTTAAGTTATATACAGTAATATTGAAAAATAATTACATTATCATTGCGCTTTTAATTGACCATAGCAAGATAATTGTTTATTATTATAGGTTAGTAGGTTACTGATCAATTTCAATATATCTATAGTGATTTATGTGTAATGAATTTGTCACGTTTTAATGTGCATTATTATATCAACAGGTCTCACCATCAATTCTAATAGACCGTCTTTTTAAGTGACCAACTATTAAAAAAAAAGTACGAATTTGAAATCTTATTTAGTTACCAAATTGTCGAGGTAAATCCACCCCCGACTTACAGGCCCAATTGCAAGCTATCAATTGTCGAGGTAAATCCACCCCCGACGGACTGGGAACCTAAATAAGCCACAAAAACATAAAAGTGACCAAAATAAGCCACTACTTTAGGAAGTAACTAAAATAGGCTTAGTGGAAGGAAAAATTTCACTTTATCTAATATTCTAAACGATTTCCGTTAGTCTCATAACATGTATATTTTAATATATAACGGAATTATTTTCTACACTTTATAAAATGGAACTATTTCTTACACTTTACAAAGTGGCAGAGAAAATTCCACTTTACAAAGAGAAATATTTTCACGTTTTTATCTCTTTTGCAGTGTTTGTCATACAATTATATTGATTTGACATATCATAAAAACGGAAAAAATTATTACACTATGTATTTTTATTTTTTTATTCTGAAAAATCCTCCAATCTCTATTTAAGGAGGACGTTCAAACATTAACTGGTAGCACCTACAACATACTTTCTATATTTGTTCATTTCAATCTCAAAAAAAAATGTCTTCTAAACCAAAAGTTAGAGTTTTGATTTATTGGGATGGCGAAATTATACATGATGGAAATACCGTTTATTATAATTGTCCTCCCAAACACAATGCTAAATATTCAATTAATGTCCGATATCATAAATTTCTTTCATCAATTTATAAAAGAATGGGTATAAACAGTACTGTTTATAATTTGATTATAGTCGTAAAATACCCTACTTCATTTTTATCACAAGGACAAGTAAATTTTGGAGAGTGAATTATCTATAATGACGAATCGTTGACCGACTTTTTGAGGGTTCCAGATGACTACATAGATCAAATCAAGTTAACAATACTTGAAATCTATGTTAGGAAGGAGCCTAAGACTAGTCAACAACGTTCTCCTTTATCGGTCAATGTCCATCCACTTTATAAAAAGTGTAATAAAAAGTTTCACTTTATAAAGTGTAAGAAAAAGTTTCACTTTATAAAGTGTAAGAAAAAGTTCCATTTTATAAAGTGTAGAAAATAATTCCGTTATATATTAAAATATACACGTTATGAGACTAACGGAAAACGATTAGAATATTAGATAAAGTGGAATTTTTTCTTCCACTAAGCCTATTTTAGTTACTTCCTAAAGTAGTGGCTTATTTTGGTCACTTTTATGTTTTTGTGGCTTATTTAGGTTCCCAGTCCACCCCCGACTTACAGGCCCCAATTGCAAGCTATCATAGTGAGCCTCATTCCTTAAAAAATAGAGTTAATATTTGTGTAAATAGATTATTCTCATAGTCTCATATCATATATTAAACTGTTATTTTATTTATCTCAAATTATCTATTGTGATTATTAAAAATAGATATATTAAATTATTTGTCATTTTAGAAGTTCAAACATAACTAATTATTTTTTCTCATTTCACCCTTAGTAAATTTTTTGTTATTAATGGAGATGACACATAAATAAAATAAACATTCAATATAAAAACTTATGACTTAGACATAAATAAAGGTAAAATAGTCATATACTCTTCTAACTAATTTCTCAAGAAACTTATAAATAAAATAAGGATAAATAATTTGAGACGGAAAGTAGAATAATTCTTTTCGAGTCTGTTGCATAGGTTCATATACTCTAGAAACTTATAAATAAAATAAGGATAAATAATTTGAGCAGGAAAGTAGAATAATTCTTTTCGAGTCTGTTGCATAGGACTTGCCTAGTGTTTGTGAGTTTCGAACATGTGATCACTAGCTCACATGTATCATTTTAATTGTATTTATGTATTTTTTTTCCCCCGATGAAGGGTGTCCAATTGGACACCTTGACAACCACGTGGCTTCCCCCTGCTTGTCTAGTGCGGTTTACATCTTCTATATGGTTTGCAGGCTATTACAAAGTAGGAGATTTACTCAATATGCACAAAGTGCTCACTCGAAGGACAAAAATTGTGACATAAATGATAACGGATTATCCTGTAAGGTAAAAAAAAATACCATTCTTTTCTTTCTTTTAATCGTGATAGACAAAAAGGTCTCCAATTAATCCCTACGTGGATAGTGGTTTGCAATTTTGCGAGACGTGAAAGTCAGTGAACCACATGTTATGTTATTGCTACTTTATCCCCCTATTTTTTTCCAAATATAAAATAAATAAATAAAAAATAATAATAAATAAAAATTAAAAAAAATAATAATATATATATATATATATATCTTTTTAAAAAATAATAAATAAATAAATAAATAATACCGTTTTAGACGTTCCTCTATCCGTACTTTTCTCTCTAATCACAAATCCATTTCCCAAATCAAAACAAACTGAAAAACCATTTTTAAAAGGATAATAATAATAATACATATATTAACGTTCAAAATCATTTATCTTTTCTTTCTATATATAATTCACTCTTTTTCATTCATAAAACCAAAAACAAAACAAAAAATCAAACATCCCTAAAGTAGTTACAAACATCTTTAGGGTTGCTCTAATCAGCCCCCCCAAAAAAAACCAACCCTTTTTTCCTACGTTACATTATTGTTTAATCATATTATAAAGGGGTTGGTTTTTGTTCTTGATTGTTAGATCTTATTAATTAATTAATAATCGTTTGTTTTAATTTTAATTTTAATTTATTCATCATGAGTGATGATAAAAAGTACATTACATCGGAGGAATTGAAGAAACATGACAAACAAGATGATTTATGGATTTCAATTCAAGGAAAATGTTACAATGTTACAGATTGGGTGAAAGATCATCCAGGTGGCGATATTCCGATTCGTAGTTTGGCTGGACAAGAAGCTACTGATGCATTCATTGCTTTTCATCCAGGTTCTACGAGTTCAACTGAATCCATTGCTTTTAGAATTCGAATTAATTTATACATTAATGATCATTTCGTATTTGACTAATTAGATTTTGAAATGTGTTCATAGGTACTGCTTGGAAATATCTTGACAAGTTTTTCACCGGATATCATCTAAAAGATTACGAGGTAACAGAGGTGTCTAAAGATTACAGGAAACTCTGTTCTGAATTTTCGAAAGCAGGGATGTTTGAAAAAAAGGGGCATGGGGTGATTTATTCCTTCTGTTTTGTGACATTGTTAATGTCATTGAGTTTCTGTGGTGTTTTGTTGAGCCAAAATTTCTTGGTTCATATGCTTTCTGCTGCATTATTGGGATTAGCTTGGATGCAAATATCTTATTTGGGACATGATTCGGGTCATTACGTGATGATGACAAATCGGGGATTCAACAAATTGGCACAGATTCTTACAGGAAATTGTCTTACTGGGATAAGTATTGCTTGGTGGAAATGGACACATAACGCTCATCATGTCGCGTGTAATAGCCTTGATCACGACCCTGATCTACAACATTTGCCAGTGTTTGCAGTTTCTACAAAGTTTTTCAAATCATTGAACTCTAGTTTTTATGGAAGAGAGCTGACTTTTGATTCAGTTGCAAAATTCTTTGTGAGTTATCAACATTTTACGTATTACCCTATAATGTGCGTAGCAAGAGTGAATCTCTTTGTTCAAACATTCTTGTTATTGTTTTCGACAAGGAAAGTACCAGACAGAGCTTTGAACATATTGGGAATACTTGTTTTCTGGACTTGGTTTCCTCTTCTTGTTAGTACATTACCTAATTGGACTGAGAGGTTCTTGTTTGTGCTTTTAAGTTTCTGTGTTACATCACTACAACATATTCAATTCACTCTTAATCATTTCGCGGCTGATGTATACGTTGGACAGCCAGAAGGGAACGATTGGTTTGAGAAACAAACAAGTGGTACTATCGATATCGCGTGTGTTTCATGGATGGATTGGTTCTATGGAGGATTACAATTTCAACTTGAACATCATTTGTTTCCAAGGTTGCCTAGATGCCATTTGAGGAAAGTGTCACCAATTGTACAAGATTTGTGCAAAAAACATAAGTTGCCATATAGGAGTTTGTCATTTTATGAGGCTAATGTTTGGACATTAAGGACTTTAAAGACAGCAGCAATGCAAGCCAGGGGTCTTCTTTGGGAAGCTGTTAATACTCATGGTTAATATTTGGGACATGGAGATTTTTTTTAACAAATAAGTACTAAGTAGTATGTTGTTGTTTATGTAATGTGTGTATTTTAATCTATGTTGTTGGATGTATTTTTTGCTGTGTTGTTGATATGGGATTTTGTTTTAAGCAACCTCCTTGGATCTGCTTCAGCATATATTTATGCAAAAAAAAATATGGTTTTGGTATTAGTTGGACATATATATATTTTTTATTTCTCATTTCGGGGTATGATATCTGTATTGATGCTCGACTAATCTGGATTCGCTGATTCATGTTAAGCCCATTAAAAGAGAAGTGCTCCCGAATTTGGTTTTGGGCTTATGTTCCTCATGTAGCATTGAGATCAAATGACTCTATGAAATTACGTCGATACTTTCACATATTATAGGTAACGTAAGAGACGTCTCTATTGTTCTTCCGGAGGATCTTTAGAATTCTCACTGCTTAACTTTCAATTCGTCTCTGACCATTAAATAAAATGTGAACAACCCGTCCTCCTCTCTTTGAAAGAAGTGGGCTTCCGATTTTATCGTGCTTGAAATTTTTTTGTGTTCTCCATATTATTAATTCTCTAGAATCAATAACTTTATACGAAAAACTACTGTATATACTTTTCTATTGAGGTCCATTCTCTATCATACCTTCAAGCTTAAATTCGAGATATCTGATTGAAGACGGAGAAATTCTATTCATTCAATTCTAATTGGTGGATATATAACTGCAATCCTCGTGGAGGAAATTGTGGCCTTTTGAGCTCGAACGTGCCACTTAAAAAAAGTGAACCAAATCTCTTCGCCACATACTTTTGGTCTGCGCTGTTACGTCATAGAGAATATCGTAATTATTTTTTTGTGTATGTTAACTAATATACAAAATTCAAAGTAAAAAAAAGTTCAATTTACTAGTAATAATTTTCAGAAAGAAAATCTATACCATGATTTTATATTACTTCGACAAAAATAATTAGCCTGCATCTACAAGTTATCTACGCACCATCTTTTAAGAAATTTATACATTTCTATTCTGTGTTTAAAATGAATGAGAGTAAGCGATTTATTGAAGTCGTGACATCTGAATGTATCAATATCAATTATATTTTTTAATTACAACAATAACATATTCAGTGAAATTCTCTAAAGTGGGATCCTGGGAGGGCATAGTGTACGGAAACCTTGTCATTACCTCGTGGAGGTAGAGATGCTGTTTTTGAAAGACCCTTGGTTCAAGTTTATCAAATCCAAGTAAAAGAAGAAGCAAACAATGGAAGAAAGCATAACAATGATATAAGAAAAGTACCGTAAACTCTACCCTCAAAAACAAAACAACAAAAAATAGTCGATCATTCAAATACACTAAACAACATGCGGGATAACGAGAACTACATGGCATGGCTAGTCCTTGTTATCTCATGTATTAAGATTAGCAAATCAGAAATAATTAAAGATGAAAAGAAAAAATAAAGAACTATCCAATCCCATAGAACCCACTGTGTGTCCTTAAGAAATTTAATCTCCTCAAGTACTCGTGGTTGTAGATTAATTCCTCCTAAGATAAAACAGATTAACCATTAAAGAAGTAGCAGCACCTCAAACTTTAATTTGATAGTTTCAATTAACTCAAAAAGACAACAACGAGATTACACACACATACATGATCGATTGATTTTGTTGGTAAGAAATGTATGCAAAAGAATTGAAGAATTCAATATTGGAAAAATGAGAAAAAGTCTTTCTATTTATAGCCAACAAAAGGTAGTATGAGAATGTGTTAATTGTGTCTTATCGGAAATGTCACAATCCCTTAGAAAAGAGACAACCTTTCAGAAATGTCACAACCTCTTGGAAAATGCACAACCTTTCGAATGATCAAAACCCTTTAGAGAAGACACAATCTTTCGTAAAGGTCAAAACCCTTCGTAAAAGTCGCAACCCTTCAGGAGAGTTACAATTCTTCACTTCCTATTCACACCTTTAAAACCCAACAATCCTACCACAAACAACAGGCCACAACCCTTCACTTCCTATTCACACCTTTAAAACTCAACAGTTCTACAACATACAACATACCACCTTGACAAGACAACACTCTACTCTTAATAATTTTCTACCCTAATACGAGACCATTACTCTTTCCTATCTATAATCATGTCTTCAGTAATATGAAGCAGTGTCATGTCCTGTCTAATCACTTTTCCCCAATTACTCGATAACTATATTTTCTAATTAAGGAATATGTTCTCGAAAAAAATATATCTATATAAGAGTTAATATTTAAGAATACAAATACAAATAAGGGGGAAAATGTGAAAACAACAAATTTAGGAAAAACTCCTAATAATGTTGATTAGACATATTGATAGTTGAATATTGAATTTCATCCACCAATAGAATTCATAATTTTTCAAATTATCCTAACAAAGCTTATCCTTTTATTTCCCTCCTTCTCAGCCGCGCTATGTCTTTTTCCGATAAGATTTTTCATTTTCTCCGCAACCAAACAAAATCCATCTCTCTAGAATATTCGCATACAATTTCTCTTCTTTCTTCTTCATCACCTAAATTATACGCACAAACAAAAATGTTCACTCACCATCTCTAATTTCGCCGGAATCTGACGTCATCATATGGCTACTCTTTTGCCGTCACCGGACATTTCTTCATTCTCCGCCGGACGAATACACCTAAAGAAACTGGTGCTACGAAGAAGAGTTGTTAAGGCCTGTTCGAGTGTGAAGGATTTGGAGGATGTTGGATTGTTGTACGGACAATTTTCTGCTCCGTTGAAGGTTAATACGATGTCGTCTTCCAAACTTGATAAGGAGGAAGAGCAGAAGAGGAATTACTATCTGAATACGGGTTCTGCTATTCGGATTCTCAGAGAAGAGTTTCCAGCGCTATTTTATAAGGAGCCAAACTTTGATATCTACAGGTTAGAATTCTATTTTGAAAAATATCCTATTTTGTTTGAATTTTATCTATATATGTGATTTGCAAGGCATAGATATCCAACTCTAGTAAATTAGTAGGAGAGTTTGATAGGGACGGAGCTGTATTTTGAGGTTATGTGTGGTAAGTTCTAAAACAAGAAAGTTATTGTGTTTTTGATAAATTACTTATACATATTAAGTGGTTTTATGCCAAAGCTATTGAGTTTTGCCGAATTCGTAATTGGAATGCTAGCTCTGAACCTCAACTGAGAAGGTGAAACGCCCAAACGGCAAATATATAGATGCAGTGTTAGTTGAGGTGGTCAATATCAAAGAGATTACTATCTTTGAAGAAGCTTTAAAGAGTAGGGAATGAGTAATTTGACAAAGGCTATGATCCTTTAATGGCATGTATATGATGATGCTTGTTGAGTTTCAGGAATCACTTACAACGGATGCAAAGAACAAATTAAGTTGGTGTCGACGGGGGAGTGTTAAGCATTCATCACCAACTTAGTTAATATCTAAGTCATTTCATGAAGGATCTAGAATAGTCAAAGAGTTGTAGAGAATTGGGAGGAGCACTCTAGAATGAGAATTATAGAGTGATCCTAGACAAACGTAACTAGGAGGAGTATTCTAGAAGAGAATAGTAAATATCTTTCACTAGATCCTTCCATCACTACCTATAAATAGAAGTGGTCAGTTCAGTTGTTGCCAAGTAAGAGAAAGCAAGTTAGCAAGCAACAAGTGAGTGGGAAATAAGTTAGAGTTGCTAGAGTGTTAGTGCAAGAAGAATTGTGCGTAAGAACTATAACACCAAAGCAGATCCTTACTTTGCAATAATAAAATTCAAGTTGTGAGCAACCGAGTGTGCCCAATAACAATATCCTACAGAATTTTGTAGACACATTTTGGGAGTTGGGATTACAGGTGATGAACACAAAATATTAATCAAGTTTTGGTGCAGGAGGTTGAAACTTCTCGTTTATTTAAACTCTTGTACCTGACCCTAACTAATTTGTGATCAAGGTTAATTAGTTGAAATATCCTGTGTTTTTGGTTTGCTGTTTTATCAGTCTTTTCATTGTGGGAAATTGTAGTGATAGTAGCTTCCTTTTTCTTGAACTGGTTCTATGTACACTAGCTAGAATTCTAGTTATCATCATCTGGCCTATGGGCAAGTGCTTCTTTTAGTTAATACTTCAACTTCGATCTCATCGTACCCTTTTGTAGTCTTTAGTCAGCAAGAAGATTGCCTATGCCTTTAGTAGCTTTCAATCTATACTTGCATCTCAGAATCGGCTGTTTAGACTTGAGAGAAATAAACTCAAGGATAGGAAGAGGAAAAACACTAGAACTACCTTCATATTTGAAAACATGTGGCTACGAGAGATGGACTTTGATAATTGATATAATAGTTGGCTGGATGATGGAACAACTACAAAGTGGCGGGAAGTCTGTCATCCAAATTAGTGAAAAGGTTGAAGATGCTAAAAAAAATTCGAAGTGTAGCACGAGGAGGTGTTTGGAAGGGTAAAGGTGAAAATGAAGGAAATCACAAATGAGGTGAGGGAACTAGAGAAGGAAGAAGAGGGGAGGGAGTGATAAAGAGAGGAAATAGGGTTGGAGACAGAAGCTGAGAGCGATGTAACTTTGTAATTGGAGTAAGGAGTTTCAATTTTTTCATAGGGTTAGCTTGCAAATATAATGAAAAATTTCATAAATTTATGGAGGTGAATGGGGTTGAACATCATGAGGGGAAATGAGGACGTAGAAGGGGCTATTCTAGACTCTTATAGTCAATTATTCAAAGAGGAAGTGGTTTGATGGTCTAAGGGCGACTAGCATTTAATCGAATAGGGATGACACTTGGGTTTTTTCTGATGTGGACAAGTCTCAGTCGGAAAACTTGTGACATATGCTAACGTGGTTTCTGGTAATGTCAGGCCTAAAGATAAACCTCAAAAAGTGCTTTGGCATAGGTGTTGAATGGTAAGGTTGGGGAACTTCTCACTACCTATCTTAGCTTGCCACTAGGTGTGTCTGAAGAGGTTCAAACAATTTG